ATATATATTTCTGTTGCTTGTTCTTTTTTCTTCTTCTCCATATTTTTCTTAATTGGTTTTGATATGGGTCATGTTATTGTTAATAGAATGCAGATTATTTTAAATGTTTAAGAAATGTTGGAAGCGCAGAGGATTGACTATCAACATGAGCTTCGTTTGTTTTCATCTTTATTTATTCCATGTGTGTGGATACCGAGAGCAATTCATGATCAAATTGAGTGGCATTGAGGACATATTATTACGGTGAAACAAAGGTATTAGTGCTTAAAGTATTATTTGGAATATGATCTGAAACATGGCATTTCTCAACTTGTTACTTCTCATGATCTATTGAGTTATGTACTAGATTCCGTTTTGTATTTTCTTATTAACTAATGCTAAGTTAGATTTTCTCTTAAGGTTCTTTTTGTTCATAACATGTTATGCAATGTAATTTTTATGGGTCTTTGTTCTGTAAAATCACATAATTTTGTGTACATGGGTTTGGATATTTATTTGTCTACCCACCCATTTGATGCGAGATATTGAAAAATTAGGCTTAGGTTTCTGCTACTATTTACATGTTGGTTAATATGTGATTCTGTGCTTCTAAATTTTTTGTGTATAATATGCTTTTATGTAGGAGTAATTTGAGCTCTGAGGATGGTGTGAAAGACATGATTTTTGAAAAAAAAAATCTAGTATTGATGAGGAGATGGCTGAAGATGTGACATACGGCAGTCGGAACGACGAACCAAGAATTGGAATGATTTTTTATACTCTTGATGAAGCATGGGAATTCTGGCAGAATTATGGGAAGTCAATGGGATTTGTGGTTAGAATACATTACCGCAACAAAAGTCAAAAGGATGGAGCATATAATAATGCAATTTTTGTTTGCCGTAAAGAGGGTAAAAGAGCTTAAGACAAAAGAAGGGTAAGAGTTGTGCATCGATGGGAAGAAAGAACGTCATGCAAGGCTAAATTAAATATGGTTTTGGAGAGGTCAAGTGGTAAATACAAGATCAAAGAATTTGTTCGAGAACATAATCATGAACTTGAGCCTCCAGAGATGAGTCACATGTTGAGATCCCATAGGAAAATGACTCAGGCTGCCGCTGCCGCAATTGATTTGGCACATGATGCAGGAATCACCAAAAAAGCAACACATCACTTGAGGATTAGAGAAGCAGGGGGTTGGGATAAGCTTGGATACACAATGGAAGACCAAAAGACTTATTTGAGGTCGAACAGAGAAAAACACATGGTGTACGGAGAGTTGGGAGGTATAGTTAGATACTTTGAGTAGAGAAAAGGTAAAGACCCTTCATTTTTTTATTCGATGCAATTTGACAGTGACGAACTAGTCACTAATATATTTTGGGCGAATTCTAGGATGATTGTTGACTATGGTGATTTTGGTGATGTAGTTACATTTGACACAACCTATGGAACAAACAAAGAATTGAGGCCCTTGGGTGTATTTACGGGATTTAATCATCATAGGCAAATGGTCATTTTTGGGAGTGCACTTTTGTACGATGAGACCGCCGATTCATTTGCTTGGCTTTTTTGAAACTTTTTAAATGCTCATGGAGGTAAAAAGCCTCAAACGATTTTTACAAATCAAGATGCGGCTATGGCGAATGCTTTGGCAAAAGTATTGAAAAATACAAGACATGGGCTATGTACGTGGCATTTGAATCAAAATGGGATCAAACATTTGGGTTGACGTATGAAAGACGATTCTTCTTTTTTTACGGAGTTCAAGAGGTGCATGTTTGAATATCTAGAAGAGGATGATTTTGAAAGGGAATGGAAAAAGTTACTTGATCGTTATTTGTACGATAATGAATGGTTATCCCGTACGTACGACTTAAAGGAAAAATCGGCCAAATGTTATATGAAGTATGCATTTACGTTGGGAATAAGAAGCACACAATTGAGTGAGAGCTTGAATAGTGACTTGAAGTCCTATTTGAAATGTGATTTGAATATTTCTGATTTTTTCAAACAGTTTGACAGGGTTGTCGATGAAAAATGAGAACTAGAGCTTAAAGCTGACTTTGATGCGAGACAAAAGTTGCCTCCATTGGAATCTTATAATTCTATGTTGTTGATGCAAGTTTCACAATTGTACACTCCCGAAATATTTACACTTTTCCATATCGAACTCCGTGCTTCTTTAAGAGTGATAATAGAAAGAAAAGATGACACCCGAAGTCCGCATGAGTACATGGTTTGTCTTCATGGGTCAAGAGAGAAAGATATGAAGGTACTCTTTGATCTTACAAAAGACTCGGTTGTTTGTAGTTGTAGAAAGTCTCAAGAAAGAATAATTTTCAATTGAAAATATGAAAGGTTTGAAGAAAATTATCATTCCAATTGATAATTTTTATTGTGGTCTATGTGATGAAGGTACTCTTTAACCCAACTTTTTGGTCGTTTTGTTCTTCTTCTCTTGTCCTTTTTTAGAATGGAAATTGAAGCTCCATTTCAAGAGAGCAATTCTGGTAAGCCTCACCTTCTCTTTTAATTGGAGATGAAGGTACTCTTTGACCCAACCCTTTAGTCGTTTTGTTCTTCTTCTCTCGTCCCTTTTCTTCAAACCTTTCATATTTTCAAGTTTGTGGTCTATGTGATGTATTATTATCAATTGGAATGATAATTTTCCAGCTACTTATTTATTAGTCACGCTTGTTATGATCAAAATGTACATTCAGATTTTTTTAAAAGTAAGGTAATTTTGTTTTGCAAATTTTTATAAAGCTAAATCAATTCTGGTGACTAAATACTAGCAGTATCACAAGACCTGATGATATCCTCTACCAAATCCAAAACCTGGAAAAGGAACCTATCCAAGTCAGGCAGGCTCAAAAGACAAGACCAGTGGACACTACTGATAACAGTCTCTCTGGTAGCAAAAGAGACAAGGGGCAAACCAATGATGCAAACCAAGAAGAAATAGAAACAGAGCAAGGAAGTGCTGCTAGGAAGAAGAATGAATCAGTTGAGGTACATGTGGAGGTTGCCAGCCTTGAGTAGCACCCAAATACCCAATGTTAGCTGCGGTGTGGAACTGTAGAGGGCTGGGTCGGCCCCCTACAGTTTCTGAAATCAGAGAGACAATTAAGTCTCACCATCCAACTTTATTTTTCCTTTCAGAAACCAAAAAATCCAAAGCTTTTGTTAAATCTGTTAGTAGGAAATTAGGTTATGAGGACAGAATGGCTATAGTTGATCCACAAGGTTTAAGTAGGGGGTTACTCCTTCTCTGGGATAATGATGTCATTATCAACCAAGTCCTCTGTCAAGATTTCTTTGTTGCTGTTGACTTTCATCTGTCTAACTCCAGCAGACAGTGGGGGATTTTTGTTTATATGAGCACATATAGAAAACAGAGATCCTTGTAATGGGAAACTCTGGAATCCTTGAAAAACTCTTGGGGACCTCTGTGGTTTGGAGTTGGTGATTGGAATGCTATTTGCTCAAATGAAGGAAAGTTGGGGGGTCAAGTCAGAAGCAACAACAGCTTCATGGGATTCAATGCCTTCATCAACCACATGGAGATGGAGGAGATTAAGATGTTTGGCTATCAATATACTTGGTGCAATAATAGGCACTCTGAAGGCATAGTTGAAGAAAAACTTAATAGAGCATTTGGCTCCATGGAATGGCTGCAATATGCTCCAAATGCCAAGGTCCTGAATTTAGTGAAAAGCTATTCAGACCATTCCCTTATTCTCATTGACTCTGGTAATCACCATAACAGGGAACATAAGAGATTCTCCTTTGACAGGAGATGGATTGGTATGGAAGGAATTTCAGAGGTGGTTAAAGAAGTTTGGCTTTCTCAAGTGCAAGGAACTCCATTTTATTAATTAAAAGAGAAGGTGAAGCTTACCAGAATTGCTCTCTTGAAATGGAGCTCCAATTTCCATTCCAAAAATCAACTTCAAATTTTGAACCTCACTCAGAAACTGGAAAGACTCAGGGATATCTCATCTAGTTCTAAGTGGGAGGAGTGGGACAACACCAGGAGAGAACTCAATCAAGCACATCACTTTGAGGAACTTTTCTGGCAACAGAAATCAAGGCTTAATTGGCTCAAAGGGGGAGATGGCAACACAAAATTTTTCCATGCCTTTGAACAACAAAGGAGAAGAATGAATGCTATTACTAGATTGGTGTCTGCCAGAGGTGAAGAATTCCATACTCAGAGGGAAATGGTTGCTCATATCACTGACTTGTACTCCACACTATTTGCAACAGAAGAAACTCTTGGAGGTGATGCAATCATTCACCTTATACCTCAATCAATTTCTGATGAGATGAATCAAACACTTATGTTGCCAGTTGATGATGAAGAAATTAAAGCATCTCTCTTCAGTCTGAATCCAGACAAATTCCCGGGGAAAGATGGTATGAATGCACTTTTCTTCTAACACTTCTGGGACTTAATAAAATCAGACTTCTGTCTGCTATCAAAAGCTTTTTCCAATCTGGTCAACTTCTACAATATTGGAATCACACTGTCTTGTCTTTAATTTCTAAATGCACTGTCCCTGAATCATTGAGCCAGTTTAGGCCAATTAGTCTATGCACAGTGGTGTACAAAGTTCTATCCAAGATTCTTGCTCAAAGACTGAAACTCTGTCTAGATAGCTGCATTAGTATCTACCAATCAACTTTTCTTAAAGGGAGACA